CTCCGAGCAGCCAAAAAACAAAAAAACAAAAATCCCCTCCCCAGTAAGCAGAGATTATTTTCATTTGAAAAAATGAGACTTAAGGCCCACGGAAGGCCATGAAAGAGGGAGGCAGTAGTAGTGGGATTTTCAACATTTCAAAAGACGCTTTCAACATTTAAGAAAACGCACGTGCAAAGTTTGCAAGAAAAAGAGGGAGGAAGGGGGGAAAAAACCATACTTTATACATTGTGTTGTAACTTCTTGTTACAGTATAATAAAAGGGACAGGAGGTACTGCGAAAGCGAACAAGATCGTTTGACGCTGGAGATCAATTAATGCAGCCAACCGGATCATGAAAATTCATGGACAGAACATCCCTTTTATGCCTATTGCCCTCTGCTTTGGGGAACTGAGCAGGAAAGAAGAAGGGGGAAAAGGACATAACAGGCTCCCATCCCAGCCTGCAATGCGTATCGGGAGAGAAGCAAGGGAAAAGCGAGAATAAATCACTCCTTCAAAATCTGTAGCAAGTACAGAGTGAATGCTTAATGTGCAAGTTAGCACGGGGATTTGATTCGGGACGCCCGCGTCTTGCGTGAAAAGTTATGCGCAGATGCAACTCAACAGGCCTTGGAAGGCCAAGGTAGAAAAATGCACCATGATCACTTTGGGAGCACAAGGCAGCCCTTCTTCCATAGCTGCTCTCTTGCCTGCCCCATGACTCCCTCTGACTCCTCATCATCTTTTGCTCTCATTTGAGGGCCCTGGAAGACTTCCCCCAGCTTCCTTGCTTCCTTCATCCTGCAATTAAAAACCATACATTAAAGAACGGTTGGGCTCCCTTCCTCCCCACTTCCTTCTGCAAACAAGCCCTAGCGGTTGGTAATAAAGAGGCACTTCTTCTGACTCCTCTGATCCACCCCTCACTTGCTTCCTTTGATGCCTCCTAGCAGAATCCCTCTGGCTCCCAAGCCACGAGACTTTCTCGCTCCCATCTTCTGATGTTGGAAAGAAAGAAAGAAATCGTTTGTAGCCCTGTAAAAATAAACGCCTCAATCACAAACCTCTTGCAGCTGGGAAAGATCTTCCTCCCACCCTCCTCCCTGTTCCTATTCCCCAAACCCCAAACAAGGATGCCATGGCTTTTCTCAGCAAGGCTGGCAAAACATGTCAGGAAGAAATGGTGTGAGTGTGTGCTGAAGTCTTCAAGTCGCCTCTTGACTTGTGGCAGCTCCATGAATTGCATAAGCTTTCTTATGCAAAGAATACTCACAGGTGTTTTTTTGCAATTTCCTTCCTCTGAAATAGAGCCTACAGCACTTGGTAGTCATTGGCAGTGTCCCATCCAAGTACTAACCAAAGCTGAACTTGCTTAGCTTCTAAGGTCAGACAGGATCAGCTATACCACGGGGGTCAGGCAAACCTGTTGGAAATCTTAGCTTATAGGATTGAGCTGAAAGGGAGTGCAAGATGCTTTTCACACAAAAGTACATACCAGCCTCCTTCCCTCTATGGACAAAATAGAGGAACACCACTTCTCTGAAACCAGTGAAATTCAATTAAACATTACTGTATCAGAATGAGACCAGAAGGGACTGTCCTCCCATTGTCACCTGGTCAAATCTGTTTGGCTAAGTTTTTGCTGGAATTCAAAGACATAGCTGTGTTAGGCTGTAGAATCAGTATGTAGAGACAGCTTGTAGCATCTTTGAGACTTAACTAAAGAAAGAAGTTGGCAGCACAAGCTTTCCTAGACTTAATGCACCTGAGGAAGTAGACTGAAGTCTACGAAAGCTCATGCCGCCAACTTCTTTCTTTAATTGGCCTCAAAGGTGATACAAGATCTCTCAACATGTTGTTGCTGTTGTTTTGGACCTTCAAGTTGACTCTGACTTATGGTGATGGTATCAGAGGGTTTCCTTGGCAAGATCTCTTTAGAAGAGGTTTATCACTGCATTTCTCTAAGGCTGAGAAAGTAGGACTTTCCCAAGGTTACCCAATGGGGTTCCATGGCTAAATTTGAGCCCTGTTCTCCCAGATTCCTAGTCCAACATTCAAAGCACTATATGACTACATGACCTCAGAAAGCCTGGTAAGAGTGAGAACAATGGATGGGTGTGCAGTGATACAACACTGCCTAAGTATTTTCCAACTGGCTAGAAAAAATTGGTTAGGAAAACCTCCACTTAAAATGAATGGTACTACAAGCAACAAAAACAGTAAACAAGTATGCATGTGCCCATGAGAGAGAGAAGAAGGGGAGCAGAATCCAAAATTACTGCCAGCTGTGCCAGCCCACATCAACAAATCTGGAACAGGTCTTTTATAAAGGTTGTTGTTGTTGTGTACCTTCAAGTAATTTCTCACTTATGGTGCCCCTAAAGGGAACCTATAATGGGGTTTTCTTGGCCAGATTTGTCCAGAGGACATTTGCCGTTGTCTTTCCCTAAGGCTGAGAGCATGTGACTTGCCCAAGGTCAGCCAGTGGGTTTCATGGCTGAGCTGAGAATCAAACCCTGGTCTCTAGATGCTCAACACTCAAACCATTACACCACACTTACACATCTAATAGATCTCAAGTACCAACTGAAGATCAACCCAGCCTGCAAACACTTTGCATTACAACAAGGACAGCTTATAACAATATAATGTTACTGGAAAAATCCATTCACATCCCACCATACCCCCATCTCTCAGCTACCAGCTAAGTTTGTACTCTGATCTTGTCAGCCCTGGCTCCACCACAACATCGTCCATAACACACACACATCCCACCTGCCCATTCACCTACACACTATTCTCACCTCCAGGTCAAGTTCAGCAAGCCCTTCCAGCTGGCCTTTCTCTTGCTGCTCTGGAAGAATCAACTTTTCCTGCAAGCCTTGCTTCAGAGAGGCAGGCTTCATCAGTGGAAGGAGATGACCAAGCTGCTGCAACTGGGAAGGAAAGAAGAGAGGAACGCATGGTTAGTCATGGCCACAACAGCACCAGGTTCATGGAATTCCATGCTTTGCAGGAATCAAAACCCACTGGGTGACCTTGGACAAGTCACACGCTCTCAACCTCAGGGGAAGGCAGTGGCAAACCTCCTCAGAACAGATCTTGCCAAGAAAACCCCAGAACAGGTTTGCCTTAGGTTCACTGGGGAATGACTTGAAGGCACACAACGACAGGGATCAATTGGGACCTAAACTCTCTTTCTCTACAAACAAAATAGGACTAGTGTGGTCAGAGGGAGAAAATAGTCTGGATATCTTGTCTCAGCAACACCTAGCCTTGCTAGAAGCCTTGTACTTTACTGCAAACTAATAATAGGTCCTGGACTAGACTCCACATCTCCTTCCCTGCCATGCGCTGCTGTTCCCCACACAGCCAAAAAGGCTCTCAAAGATATAAAGGCTGCAGTTTAACACCAAGTGAGGCAAACACAAAATTCATGGCTCATGGTGACGCAAGTTCCATGATTTTGGAAGAGGCTGGCCCCCCCAAATTAACATTTCCAAGCTCTCACAAACTGCAGGTGTTTGCAACACGTAATAGCACAGGCAGATGCGCACATGAATGCATTCCCTCCACTATACAACATTTAAATGACAAATAGAAAACTAGGGGCATATCCACATTACAGAACGATGCAAAATGTTCCTTTTTGGAAGACATTAGAAGGCATACCCACCCAACATTTCACAGATGAAAACAAGGGCACTCATGGCCAGGCTACATCAGAGTGTGGTCAAGATAACAAAAAGTTATTCAAGAGGAAGAGCACACAAGCCAGGAGATATTGCAGCAGTTTGCTTTTGTCTGGGTCAACTGGGAAGGTCAAGATTCTGCCCCTTCTCTCCTCTCCCCCTTACAGAGTTAACTGAATGTGAACTACTTTTGCACTCTGAACTCAGTTCCCAGCAATTGAAATAAGCTGTGGACAAAGGGGGAAAGTGGGAGGGGAAGAGAGAAAGTGGGACATTTTTAAAGCAGCTGAAAAAGTGGAACAACAGAAGATTAATCAAGACAATTGGAGCATATAAGCATCACAGTTGTGGAAGGTTCCTATAATTCACTGAGCTTGGAAGAGGGCTTTCTGTGAATGACGATTCCCAGCAGCCACCAACAATCACAGGCTGTGGGAGCTGGAGTTTAAAAATATATCAGGGAGGTGTGCTGGATTACTCCCAGGCTGTTTGCAGAGACCAGGGGTCCTTAAAGCAACACAGCAAAGATCCTGCACAAGGAGCGGCTTGCAGGCCTGTCCTTTATGCCTCTGCTTGTTTCCCGCTGTCCCTGACCAATCCATTTGTTGTGGCTTGGTGATTCAGGTGGCCTATGCAGCTCATGTCTGGCAGTGATATTTAACCTGTTCTGCCAGCAAACGACAGGGCAGCATCCCACTGGAAACATGCACAACATCTGCTGGAAATTCTAGCGCTCCCCATGGATATCAAAGCAAATGGTCTAAGTCAGTGCTACACAAGGCAGTCATCTGCAGACCAGTGTCAGTCTGCAAGCCAATGGTTCCCGGTCTGCAGAGAGAAGTTACGTAAATACGGTAATAATGTGGCATAAAGAAGCCATCAATCCCTGACACATTGGGATGTCCACCACCACTACCCCCCCCCCAATATATCCCATACGAAAGCGTGAGAAACACTGACTCAAGCTACATCCTAAAGAGGGATGTGCTTGACTTTTTGGCTACTGTGGCTTGGCGTGCCATTGAGCCATGGACATGGTGTAATTTTTCTGCTGCTAGTCGAAGCACTCCCTGGGCAGGACAAAGAGAGAAGAAGCACCCAGTTCTTTGCTATTGTCTAACTTGGACAGGATGAATTAAAAACAGTGCCAGACTTATGCTGATGATGGGACAGTGGGTTCTTCAGTCACCATCTACAGGCCAAATCCATCATGCAGTAACAATAAAAAGCAATAATACATAATGTTACTAGCACTCAGAGCATTTACATACCTTTTCCCATGGCTTGGGAACTTTTTGCAGGGAGATGAATGCAACTACCATGAGAGCCAGCGTGGTGCAATGGTTTGAGCTTTGGGCTATGACTCTAGAGACCAGGGTTTGAATCCCTGCTCGGTCACGGAAACCCACTCTCTCAGCCTCAGAGAAAGGCAATGGTGGCAAACTCTCTCTGAACAAATCTTGCCAAGAAAACCCCATGACAGGTTCATCTTAGGGTTGCCATAAGTTGGAACACACAACACAACACAACTTCCAGAATCACCCAGCCAGCATGGCCAGTGCTCTCTGGCTGATGGGTCCTACAGCAAATCAAGCCTGAACTCTCCCTAGAAGCCAAGATGACGAAAATGAGACTGTCATACTTTGGACACATCATGAGAAGACAGGACTCATTAGAAAAGACAATCATGCTTGGCAAAATGGAGGGAAGTAGAAAGGGAGGAAGACCATGCGCCAGATGGAGGGACTGAATCAAGGAAGCCATGGTCCTGAGTCTGCAAGACCTGATCAGGGCTCTTGAAAACAGGATGACTTGGAGGCCTCTCATTCATAGGGTCCTCTCTCATTCATCAAGTCAAAGTCAACCTGATGGCAGTTAACAGCAACAAAGAGGATTTGGGCTTGCTTCTTCATTTGAGACAGCCCAAGCAAAACCAGTCATTGCCCTGGGGACAGAAGAGCAGATTCATAAGAAATGCCAATCTTTGCTTATCACTCTCCTTACGGAGCTTGGGAAAGCTATTTGGGGGAGGAGGACAACTCCCAGAGTCCCTGGTTGGGTGATCTTAGGAGTTGTTGTCTCCTTCAAGTTCTGTTTCTTCAAGTTCTGCCTATGTGTTTGCTTAGGAAATGGAGATGTGCAAGGAGAGAACGGACTCAATAGGAAATGGGCTCCATCTTCGGCAGGAGTGCTCTCTGGTGAGTTCTCTTTCCTTTGCAAACAGCACTGGCACACAACACAACACACCACACCGCACGACACCAAGATACCTCTCAGTCCCTATAAGGGCCTGGCAGAGAGCTACAACCCCATCCTCTGTTACGGTTTCGGACTCATTTGTCCCGAAGTGTGTTGCACGGGGCTCCCAGGCAACCCCTCTGTGTAACCTGTTGCCATCGCTGATGCTTGGCTCCAGTCTCTGACCGCCTGGGTTTTCGAGCCTAAAAAGGAAATGGTACAGCAAGCAGATGGAAGGGAGCCAACTCCAGCCCCCAAGAGAGCAAAAAAGGCCACTTAGAAAAGCAGCCTCTGTTCCCAGCCAGGCCTGACCTTCTGTAGGAGAGGATGTGGGTTTCTGCTGAAAGGGAGCGATTCACATGAAACTGACCCAGGGCCACAGTTTCTGCTTGACCACTTCTTTGTTTCCCATCAAAATGGCACAAGAGAGAGAGAGAGAGAGAGAGGGAGAAGTGGGTGTCCATGTGGGTGTTAGACTCAGCTTCTAGTGGGGGGAAATGACTCCCATTTTAAAAGTGACAGAGTTGTTGTTGGTGCAAGGGAGTGGGGAGCTGAAGACCCCTGCCCTGCAAAAGCTGATGAGACAAATATACTCTCCCGGGGCCCATTGGCAAAACACAGCTGTTTGATCATGCTTTTCAATACCCCAAGCCTTGTCTTTGTACTGTCATTTAGATCCCAGACTTTGCTGCGCACACAAGAAAAGTGTAAAGCTTTTGAACAGTCAGAAATTAAGTACCATCCAGATATTAAGAGGAGGGTTTTTTTTTTACTAAAAGTCTTTGATCTCCTCAGCCTATAATCCACCCATGTTGATGAATAGGGTGGTTTCTTTTTTAAACCAAAAACTCAACAACCCACAGTGCATGCAAGTTTGTAAGCCGCCTATTTTCTTCTTCACCCCTAGAACACCTATTGCATCGGTACCGGTAAATCAGTACTGCTCCTTTTTTGAATTTGACTTGCAAAGACCACCCCGAATTTCCCAAACTCAAGGCTCCAGGAAGGAGAATGTAAAACTATATTACTGTACATGGCTGGGTCTGGCTGCACATTTAATCAGCAAGAAGTTGAAAAAGGATGATATGGGAAGAAATGATTTGAGGAGAGCCACAAAGCAGATCAAGGTTCACAGAGACTGTGGCAATCATCACTAGACAAAGCAACCGGTATTGTATGACATTGAACATTTTTGCACCCTCCTTATCAGTGGATAGCATAGGACCTTGTTGTCAAAAGACATGGAATTCCTTCCAAAGGAAGCTCAACTGGATCCCTCCCTGTTGTCCTTCTCCAACAAGCCATAAATTTGGGCAGGCTTTTAGCGGATGAGAAAATGACAACTAATGTGTGGCTATTGTACTTCTTTACAGGTATGTTTTTATCGGTATCCTTTGAATTATTCCCGTTCAGTGGTGTCTGAACCCCAATTTCTGGAGACAGATGGGATACAGACAGATGGGATACAGATAAAAGAAATTCAGAGACATAGCTGCTTTAGTCTGGAAAATATCAGTGTGAAAAGGGGATCTTGCAGCATCTTGGTATTAACTGTGCAAAAGGAGTTGTAGCATCAGCTTTCATAGACTTGTCCTATCAGAGGAAGTAGACCAAGCCTACAAAAGCTTATGCTGTAACTTATTTTGCACTGATAGCTCGAGGAAAGGAAAGGAAAGGTTCTTCTTAAACTTGTGGTTTGCAGTTGGGAAGTCCTACAGGGCTGGCAGGTGGATGGATGTCTTGTGCCACAGGACCTATGGCCTGATCCGGAAACCTGATCTGACGCTGAGCCATAGCACTGTGAGTTACATGGGCTCAATCTGAGGATCCTGGGCTTTTGCTTTTTTCTGGCCATTAGAGCAGGACCGCTTGCTTACTTCCAGTATGGGATTGGGACTACGGTGCTGGACTGAGACATAGTGATCCAGGTTCTAGTCTACACTGAACCAAGAAACTCATTAGGAGGGACTTGGGCCAGTTGCTTTCAACCTGATCTACCTCACAGGGTTGTTGTGAGGACAAAGTGGAGAGAAAAGCTGCAGGGATCATCTTGAACTCACTGACAAAAAGGCAGTGTATGAATACAACTTTTGTTGTTGTTGTTGTTATTGTGTGCCTCCAAGTTGTTACTGACTTATGGCGATCCTAAGGCAAACCTATCATGGGGTTTTCTTGGCAAGATTTGTTCAGAGGAGGTTTTGCCATTGCCTTCCCCTGAGGCTGAGAGAGTGTGACATGGCCAAAAGTCACCCAGTGGGTTTCATGGCTGAACTGGGAATTGAACCCTGGTATCCAAAGTTGTGATCCAACACTCAAACCATTATGCCACACTGGCTCCTCATGAATACAACTCATCAACAGCAAATCAGAGGAAGGAACTGGTAAAACCATCTCCGAGTATTCCCTGCCCGAGAAAACCCTATGAAATTCAGGGGTCGATAAGTAACTTGAAGGCACATACCACACACAATGCTGTACTTCAGGCCTTTTCACTCTGCTTTCAGCCACCGATTGATAGGGACCATGGGTTGGAAAACCCCAACTCTGGATCTGTGGTCATTCAGACATCATTTGTTTTAGCGCAACAATGCGAATCAGCTCACTCACACATTCCAGGTTTGTCATTCACACTATGGAACCACATCGATGTGCATCTCTGCAAGTTCGGTCGCTCACACATGCAAGTATCCAAATAAAGATGGAATCATCGATGCGAATACATTTGGAACACGTTCAAGGCATGCAGCGTTTTATCTTGGGTCTATTCATATCAGTTATTGACACTACCGACGATGCGGATCTTTTTTAAAAACTCGAGGAAAACCCCGATATCGATTATTCTAGATCAGGGGTAGGCAACCTTTCCCATTTAAGGGCCGAGGGACTTCAGCTCCCAGAATCCCAGGAGCTATTGGCCAACATGGGACTATTGGCCAACATGGCTGAGGCTTCTGGAAGCTGAAGTCCCTCCTTGGCCCTTAAAGGGGAAAGGTTGCCTACCCCTGTCCTAGATTAAGTGGGGGTTTTGGCAGGTCTCCCCAAACTTAATCAGGTGCCTTTGGGATGTGTGTGAACAACAGAGACTCAACCCAGATTCATCCTGGATTATTTTCACAGTGTGAATAAGCCCTGGCTCCTGTCTAGCAACTTACCCTGCCCTGCCCTTGGCATGATGCCCTTGTTTTCTTGAACAGATTGCATGGGCTGAGTTGGCACTCCTGCCCACCTCCACCGCCCCTTGCCACCCCCCAAAACAACCCTGTATAGACTTGCCCTAGATTTTTAAGAAAAGATTCTTCCTTATGCCGACACTCCTTTCCAGCCTCCAGAGCAATTCCAACTCTGCATAACCCCGTTGTGGGTTTGAAATGTTAACAAATCAGCAGAAATTTCATTTCGACAGAGTGCCGGAGGGGAGGGGAGACATCGTAGGGAGGTGCGGAGTGAAAGCAATCTGTCAGATCTCCTCCTTGCTCACGTCCATTCCCATTGCTCCCCATTGTGCCTCCTGATTGCTTATTCTTCTCCCTTAAAAAGAAGCCACGGAGAATATTTAAACAATAGCTTAGCTGCCGGGATGAATCACTAAACATATACGGAGCTAAATATACAGAAATAACTCGCCCACCTGCATGTTTTCTTTTTCTCGGCGCAAAAGCGGCGAAGCCAGAGGAGTTTCTGCTGCAATGGGTTTTAGAATAAGCCAAGTCGGCAATTTCAAAATTACATTCAGTTGCTGGAGCAAGGGGGAAAAAATATCTACAGCTCTGGTAGACAATTACCTTTTTTTACTTTATCATTAATATTATTAAACAAAACCAGGGGTTTGATTTTGAACCCATCAAGACCTGAACTAGCTCCGTCTATTGAGTTATTCATAGGCAAAAAGGTGCTTAGTTCCCTCATCTTCACCAGTTGCTGCAGGTGCGAGGAACCATAGCATGGATGTGGCCCATAACTTTCATATTCTTGGACCCATCCCTTCCTCTATGGGGTGATTTGGATACGGGGAGAGGCCCCACATACTCTCCAACATTTCACAGATGAAAATCAAAATGTGTGTGAATATAAATGAGAGCCAGCATGGCATAGCGGTTTGAGTGTTGGACTACGACTCTGGAGACCAGGGTTCGAATCCCTGCTTGGCCATGGAAGCCCAC